GTTAAGCGTCCGACTTTGGCTCGGGTCATGACCTCACGGTTCGTGGGTTCGAGCCCCGCGTCGGGCTCTGTGCTGACAGCTCGGAGCCCGGAGCCTGCTTCGTATTCTGTGCCTCCGTCTCTCTCTGCCCCTCCCCCACTTGTGCTCTGTCTCTCTCTCTCTCTGTCTCTCAAAAATAAATAAATGTTAAAAAAATTAAAAAAAAATATCTGGAGGGGTATTTCACCTCTTTGAGAGTTAAAGGACACCACCATCAAAGCACTTTTTTTCTTTTTAAAAAGTACTTTTAAATGTTTAGTAATTTTTGAGAGAGAGAGAGAGTGTGTGTATGCACAAGCAGGTAAGGGGCAGAGAGAGACAGAGGGGGAGACACAGAATCAGAAGCAGGCTCCAGGCTCCGAGCTGTCAGCACAGAGCCCGACGTGGGGCTCGAACCCATGACCAGTGAGATCATGACCTGAGCCAAAGTCAGATGCTTAACCGACTGAGCCACCCAAGTGCCTCCTAAGGGCCTTTCAAACATCCCAGGAGCACCTGTTCACCTACAAAGTCATTCACGTGCTCATCACAAACGACTACTGGCCCAAATAACCCGATAGGACAAAGCGAGCAATTTTGCTGGTCTGGAAAATCCTTCAGTGTGGGCACAACCAATCCAGCGATTACAGGGGGCAAGCGTGAATGCCTTCCATCTGCGTGCACTTTACAGTAATTCCTGTAATAAGCAACCCACCGGGGACAAGGTGACCCGAGGGTGGCGGAGACAGACCTGGAATCCGCACGTTCCCTGCCATGATCCTACGCCGCGCAGCACGTGGGCACGAGCCTGCAGAGTCAGAGAGCAAGTCTTCACCCGGATTTGTCGCCGTGTCTCATTTTTCAGTGATTCTGATGGAGTCATCGTCACCCCCACCCAGTGCGAGGTGTAATTGTACCCGTGCACCCCTGGGGTCACCACACCCATTCTCTCGGCGCCTGGTTTCCCGGGGTGGGGGGTACCAGCTCCGTCTCGGGGACCCCATCCTTGTCGCTGAGCTGGGAGGGGGAGGAGCCACCGGGGCAGGGGGATGCCACCTGCGGGCCCCAGAGTCCCTTCCGGCTCTGCCTCCCCGTCCGGTCCAATCCGACCTTCCCTAGGTTGAGGGGGCCACAGACATGAAGCCAGGAACTCCGTGGAGGGAAGCAGCCCAGCCTGAGTCCTCGGGGCTCTTCCCCAGGTGACAGAAAGAAGGTGGCTGCCGGGTCCCGGGGTGGGGGGCGGTGACAGCCAAAGGTCCCCCTTTAGCCCTCCCCTTTCTGTGTGTTCAAGCACCCAAGGATCCTTCCTGGACACGTTCCTGATTATCCACACGGGTGTCGTCTGAACTGCATGCTTCTGTGTCCGTGAAGATGGGGGACGAACCCCGCCCCCACATGCCGCGGGGGTCACGCCAGCAGCCTTGCTAACGCGCACTCGATCTTCGATCTTCGCTGGAGAACAGCAGCAGGTCCAAGGCCTCCCCGAGGGAACCGGAGTTAGCGCGGGATGGTTTCCAGGGGCTCACGTCCCATTGTTCCCAGGCAGGACAGAGCGGTGCAGGCTGGCTGGTCTTTGTCACCGAGGAGCGGGACGTTCGAAGCCGGGGCCAGCAGGTGAAACACCAAGCGGGTGGAAAGGAGACCCCCCCATTGAACAGACCCCTTTGAAAGGCACTAGAGAAGGGAATGTTCCAGGGGTAAAGGGGGGTGTCAAGGAAGCTGGTCCTCGCCGACGCCGGCTGCACGACCTCAGAAAGTCCAGGCCAATATTTGTATGAAGGCGGTAGCAGGCTGGGGACACCCAGGGCTCCCGCAGAAGTCCCCCTGCAGGGCGACAGCATTCACTGTTACCCCAGAGGCCCCTTGGCCACACTGCTTCGTGGGACACGGATGCCAGGCTGCCCAATCTCCAGGGGAAGCCGGTAGATGAAGCCACCTAGGGTCTTGTCAAAAACCACAGCCCCCGAGTGGTGTCACTTTGGCCGGGTCCCCGAGCCAGGAATTTACACGTAACCTAACTGTGGGTCCGGCCTCCCGCAGAAATGTAGTCTCAACCTGGGAGTCAGGAGTTTTCTGGTGGGCTCAGATGGGGTGACCGGTCCCCTGGACCTTCCCCATTGCCCCCACCCCAGGAGGAGGAGGGGATCTGCGGGATCAACCCCCACCCACCCAGGGAAGGTGGCCCGGCCTGAAACAACCCTTCCTTTCTTTTGCTAATAACTTCCTTGTCCCACCCTCCTTCCTACAAAAACCTTCCATTTTGTTGGAACGCGAGCCCCCTGTGCTCGCTGGATGGGGCGCTGCCCCATTCATGAGTGGCTTAATAAAGCCCGTCAGATCTTCAAATTACTCACTTGAATTTTTTTTTTTATTAAAAAAAATTTTTTTTAACGTTTATTTATTTTTGGGACAGAGAGAGACAGAGCATGAACGGGGGAGGGGCAGAGAGAGAGGGAGACACAGAATCGGAAGCAGGCTCCGGGCTCTGAGCCATCAGCCCAGAGCCCGACGCGGGGCTCGAACTCACGGACCGCGAGATGGTGACCTGAGCTGAAGTCGGATGCTTAACCGACTGACCCACCCAGGCGCCCCTCGCTTGAATTTTTTTAACAGTCTTAGCCAATACAACTGAGTTCAGACAAATCAATAAGTAAAAATAAAGAGAATTAAAGGGAATTAAAAACGTGCAATTTTTGGATTTAGCCCGCAACGTGCCATGACACGGTCCAATTGGACAGGACTGCCCCTGGTAGGGGCCCGAAGTCCAGAAAGTTCTGGAACTCCCCGAGAGCCCCCTGGTTATTACGGACACCGCTAGGGCTAACACGTGTGTGGTGCATACTGCTCACAATCCCTCCTGAGCTGGGAGCAGCCTTTGTAAAGAAGAAAAAAGGCCACTCTGCAGCTCAGTGTCCTTCTTCTTGACGATTCTCTAAGGCCTCAGTCCCATCAGAGGGGCCTTTGGAAATCATCTGGCATTTAGTCCAAGCAGTTGTAGAGGGCCGGTTGGCATTACTTGCTGCAGTAATAAAACCGTGCATATTCATTAAAAAACATCATGGCTCCTCTGTGATGAGGTCTTTTTGGGGTGACAGTGGGGTTCGTGGGGTCCGGAGCCAACGGCCGAGAAAGAATTCTTGAAGTTGTCTTTGGCGCAAAAAGGTCGTCCTTTGAAGCCCTGGGACAGGACCCAAGGCAGGAAGAGCTGCCCCGGGAGCAGGCGCGGAGACTGGTTTTATACCATGGGGTTGGGGGAGGTAAAGGCCAGAGGAAGTTTCCAGTGAGATTTTCCTATGCTAAAGAAGACTTCCAGGATCCTGGAGGCCTAGCTATTGTCAAACTAGGGTTGTTTGCCCTCTAGCAAAGCATTAGCAGTAAGACAGTAGAGAGTTCCTGGAGAGACCTTGTACTCTGGGCCTCAAGTAGTTGTCAATGGGCTGCAGGTTAGAAGGAAATTTAATTTGATCTGCCATTTCCTTCTGCCTTTGTTTCCCACGTCACCATGGAGGGGTGATGCTGGGGCTCCAGGAAACGGAGTCTATAGGTTTCTGGAGATTAGCTATTGATAAGATCGCCTTTTTCTGGTGATTTACTAAGATACTTGTAAATAGACTCAGGCCGGGTAGGACTGTGATCTCTATCAGTTAACCATTTGTTTCTCCCTTTCCTTTGTTCTCAGGCAGCCAGGAGTGCCTGAGGAATGTCACACATGTCCCACGGTGGAGGGAGGGGGTTGGGGTGGGGGGTTCGGCCTGTCAGCGTGCCTTAAGCTCCCTCATCACTCTGCAGTGGAAAATAAGACATATCTGGGGACGCCTGGTGGCCCAGTTAGTTAAGTGTCCGACTTCAGCTCAGGTCATGGATCTCACGGTTTGTGGGTTCGAGCCCCCGCGTCGGGCTCTGTGCTGACAGCTGGGAGCCCGGAGCCTGCTTAGGGTTCTGTATCTTTCTCTCGCTCTCTCTGCCTCTACCCCGCTCGCACTCTGTCTCTCGAAAATAAAGAAACGTTTTAAAAGAAAAAAAAAGACATGTCCAGGCCAGGCCTCACCCAGGCCTCCAGCGGGCAGGCTCCAGATGCCGGGGCTGTGTGTGCCCGGCTGTTGGTTCAAATGCGCTTAGCCACGTGGCTCGGGGAGAAAATGGTCTTTCAAAAACAACTATTTTGTCTTAAAATACATTTGATCTAGGAAGTTAACACAAAACTGAAGGAACGGGAAAAAGACGGTCGACGTGAAGTTCAGTTGGTGCCAGAGATGCGTTTAGTGCGGGAGGGGCGGGGGGGGGGGCTGTCCTGCTCTGTGTGGGCCGTGACCCTGAGCCCTCCGCCTCCCCCCACCGCCCACCAGCCAGCAGCGCATGGAGGAGGGGGGGGGGGCGCTCCCGGCCCCTGGGGCATCGCAGGCTGGGGACAAAGCAGACACAGGACGTGTCTCCTCTCTGTCTCTCTCCCCATCTCCATGAGGGTGTCCTCTGGGAGGTCCAGAAACCGGTGGAGGTGAGTGACCCAGATGCCCTCTCCTCACCAAAGCTCCTCCCCCTTCCCAGACAGTGTGGAGTCAGCGACATAGATAGATGCTTCCTGCCGGCGGCGGGTTTGTGACTTACGCACAAGCCTAGGGAGAGGTGGGGAGAGCCAGCCTGCCAACACCGCAGGTGACAAATGAGAGTCCAAACAGGGGACGTCCAGAAGGCCATTAGAGGAATTGTCCCCGTGCCCGAGGCTGCTGCTCTTGCTGGACTGCCCACGGTACCTGATGACTCTGTCACCACAAGACGGGGAAGGGGGAGCCAGGGAGGACAGGAGGTGCCAGATGAGCCGGGAAGGCGTCCTCTCCTACATCCTGGAGCTCTGGGCACAGCCACCAGACTGCAAGATTCCGCCGACAGGAAACGTCCAGAACGGGCAAGTCCCTGGAGGCCAAAAGCGGATTCCTGGTTGCCGGCGGCTGAGGGGAGAAGGGGGTGAAGACAATGTCCTGGAACTAGATGGTGGTGATGGTCGCGCAACACTTGGAGGGTACTCAAGGGTTAAGGGGCGCCTGGGTGGCTCCGTCAGTTACGTGGTGACTCCTGATTTTGGCTCAGGCCGTGATCTCTCAGGTCATGAGTTCGAGCCCTGTGTTGGGCTCTGCGCTGACAGCGTGGAGCCTGCTTGGGAGTCTCTCTCTCCTTCTCTGCCCCTCCCCCACTCACACTGTCTAAATAAATAAGGAAAAACATTAAAAATGGTTAAAATGGTCACATTTATGTTATGTGCATTTTACCACAGTTTTTAAAAGGGAATCGACTGATTGATTCAACAAACACTGGGAGGGGCGCCTGGGTGGCTCAGTCGGTTGGGTGTCCGACTTCAGCTCAGGTCATGATCTCGCGGTTTATGAGTTCAAGCCCCGCATCCGGCTCTATGCTGACAGCTCGGAGCCTGGAGCCTGCTTCGGATTCTGTGTCTCCCTCTCTCTCTGCCCCTCCCCTGCTCATGCTCTGTCTGTCTCTCTCTCTCTGTCAAAAATAAACACTAAAAAAAAAATAAATTTAACAAACACCGGGAAGAGGTCCCCTGAGTTCACATTAATGGTACAGCTTCTGCTCTTAATAAGACCCAATATAAAGATGATTCACTTGAAGAACATTCCTGGTTTTTTGAAAACCACAGAAGACTTTGGTATTTGACAAGGAGCCTTCTGGTATGTGTGTAATACCCCCCCACACATGCATTCATATAAACACACACACACGCGTTCATACACACACATACATATACACACACATACAAACATACACATACATTCACACATACACGTACACACATATACGCATATACATACCAACACAGACACATACAGACACACATAACAAACACACACATACACGCACTCTCCGCTGGGTCAGCTCCCAGGTGAACCTATTACACGACCGGGTCAGGCGTCCACGGGCTGCTTCCTGCTGCCTCTGGGCTCAGAATGAAATCAAGCTGCCCCATCTCACAGGTCTGTTCCCCACTGGTTTCGGATCGGTCCTTGGGTTTTCCATGATGCTGGTCGATATTTCATTTACTTTGGTAACATCCTTGTAAGAGGGGACTACATCAAGAGGTTTGCCTATAGACCAAAGCGTTTGCATTATCGTGAAAAATAAAATCAGATCAGCGCAGATGTTTGCTGGTAAAGGGGGGGCCCGGGGCCCTTCTCACTTGGCACTCGGTGTCCTAGAGTCTCAGGGGTCACACTGTGCTGACGACTCTCTTGTCGTCCGGGGAGAGGAAGGGGGTGCATGGGGCATTGGCCGGGGCTACGAGGGCCGAGCTGTGACAGCCACCTCCAAAACAAGACGCCTGCAACTATTTTTAATTTTAAGGTTTCATTTCATAGGTTCATATTTCCAGCTTTTTAGGAGGGAAAAAGCCAGTGTTGGCTCTCTTTTCTCTTTTCCCAGCGGCATCTGGTCATTTTCCGGCCTACTGCATTCCTGTTCTCTCTGCTTCCATCCAAGCCGTCACCCCAGCGTGGTCCACCCCAGCACGGGCCGAAATGCGCCTCCTCACACACGGCCGCCGGCAAACAAGTTCTAGAATTTCGGCCTGTTCTAACTTCCTACCCAACGCACGGAGTAGTTTCACAGAGTCCTTTCTCTGTCCTGCTCCCCACGAAGTGTTTCTTCCTTTTTAATTCTGGCCTCGCTCGTCATCTCTTTGATATCCTTCCGCCTTTTATTTTATCTGCAGATTTGATCAGTGTTAGTATGACTTCCAGGCCTTGGTTCAAGAAATGGGTGTCAAGCCCTGGGTGAGGCATGGGAGAGAGGGTGCAGGGGGGTCAGTCAGGAACGGCCCAGGGCCTCCTGGGTCTTGGTTGTCGAGGCTGGCTCAGCAAATGCCTGTGGGGCTTGGAGCTCTGTGCTCTGTGTATATAGTCCCTGCTCTGGGCGGCACCTCCTGTCCTTGTGACCTACATCTTCCCACAGCCCTGCTCTGGCACTCAGCTGTGGCCAGGGAGAGGCCGGCCGCCCTGTGCCCCAGTGGCACCAAGGATCTCTGCCCTGGGTCCTCTGTCACCTCCATAGGGACTGGCACAACCTTCTGGAACACAGGCAAGTCTTGAGACGCCAGAACGTGAAGATGCGCTCGGTGAGAAGACGAAGGCAAATTCCTGCTCCCTGGTGTCCTCAGCCACGGGTCTAGAACCAGAGATGTTCACGGGCCGTTCACGGGTTTTAGGGAACTGGCTGGCTTTGAGTCTTTGCTGCTTGCTCAGTTTTTCGCAAACCACCTGCTTAATGATCCCGTGTAAAATGTGGTCAGGGATCAATGTCCGCATTCCCGGATTACTTTAGGATCTCGGAGGGAGGGGGACCCTGGAAAATAGCACCCTCTTGCTCACAGGGTTGCTGAATCCGCTGGGGGTGGAGTAATGAGCAAGCCAGGGTGTCACCACGGGCCCCTGGGAGCGGAGTGGAGGACTGGGCCGGAGGCCCGTCGGCCGGGATGGCGTGTTAATGCTGACCCCCAGATCGGGTAGATCCAGGCACCAGAACACAGGCAGGGCTGAGGGGGGAGGAGGTTGTCTCCTGCAGGCGGGTTCTTCCTAATCGTGCTGTCTGTTGCTCCGATTTGCCCGCCAGAGAACCACACGCCCTTCCCGGGAGGCCGGGGCTCACAGAAACGGGCCTGGGACGGACAGCCGCTTGCCCACTGCACGCCTGTGTCCGCTCACTCAGCCCGGGGACAGTGATCCTGTGGTCACAGCCACAAGGTCTTTGTGCCCAAAGCGCTGACCCGGATGAATCTGAAGGCGGTCCTGCCCTGCTGCTCCAACACTCCCCAACCAGTCCCAGTGTTTCCACTTTGTTCCATGAGGGGAGGAGAAGCAAAGCCAGATAGAGATGGGGCCCCCAGGGCCGAGGGGAGGGCTGCTCCCCTGAGCCGTTCCATCTGGGGCCCCAGAAGGCTCTTCCGTCCCCAGCTGCCTGGAGGGCCTGGGGCTCTGCTGAGCCTTCCTGGAGAGGAGAGTGGGTCTCTGGGGTCCTCACCCCGTCATCACCCTCTGCTTCTCCGGGGCAGGGGTGGCCGCGCCCACGGAGCTCGCCGGCCCTGAGCCCCCGCCACCAGCTCTGACTGTGCTCCTGCCTTTGGCTGACCTCTCCTCCTCTCTTTGCAATATTATATATTTTTAAGTAGCTTCCGAAACCCCTTAAGCCAGCTCTCTCATTTGCAGAAAAGCAGCGAATTCTACAGAACTTCTCATCATCCGAAGAGGTGACTGGGGACTTAACCCGTGTTTTTCAAGTCTGCCTGAGAATCAGGGGGTGCTGGCTAAACTCGCAGGTGCCCAGGCTCTCCTGGAGGCTGATCTGGCTGATGCTTGGGGCGCGGCCCCGGGTCGGACCCCAGCCTCGCCTGGCAGGGAGGCTGTTCTAACAAGAACAAGATCGCAGAATCCTGGGCCCCGCCCAGACCTCGGAAAGCGGGGCTGCAGTTTCACACGGTGCCCACGTGATTTGCACTCACATTAAAGTGTGCGAAGCGCTGCTCTCAATCAGCTGTTTGCGACCTTGGTGGCACCGTAGAATTGACTGGAATCGGGGCTCACCCCCAGAAATTCTGCGGTGGGGCCTCTGGCTTGTAGGTGTTGTGTTTACTGTTTGAACATCCACTGAGGTATGATGTAAAGTGCATGAATCACGTGTTCAGATCAGTGTGTTTCCACCAGTGGACCACACCCATGGAACCCCGATCAAGAATCTAAAGGTGACCCACAGACTCCCTGGGTCACTACCCCTCACCCCCTCCAAAGATAGCCAGATAAGGATTTCGTCTCCTTCTTCTTTTTTAATGTTTATGTATTTATTTTGAGAGACAGACAGAGAGGGAGAGACAGAATTCCAAGCAGGGTCCACGCTGTCAGCGCAGAGCCCGATGTGTGGGGCTCGATCCCATGAACCGTGAGATCGTGACCTGAGCTGAAGTCAAGAGGCGGACGCTTAACTGACCGAGCCGCCCAGGTGCCCCTCAGATAATGGCTTCTAACAGCGTAGCTTTGGCTGGCTTCTTTACGTAAGCGGGCCGTACGGCCCGTGTGCACAGGGGGTTGCCGTGTCCTCGTGGCTGCCGACGCCCTCTGCGTGAGCACACCCCTGTCTCCGTCCTGCTGCTCACGGGGGTCCCGTTGCTTCCCCTTTGGGACTATGTGTTTCTCCACAGTCCCTGTGATTTTAACACAGAGCCGGGTCTCAGAGCCACTGGTCCCTCGTCGTCCCCAGATGCCGCTGCCACACCTGTCAGAGAGCAGCGGGCCCCTTTGCGACGACAGAGCCTTCCCCGTTCCCATGGGCAGCACCTTCGGGGCCCACGGGGTCACTGCTGTCAGCTGTCCTTTCTTGTAATCTCCGTGTCCGGCTGCTTAAGGATGACACGTGGTCATTTCTAGAAGCTTCTGTGCTCTCCCAGGACATCAGGAGCTCTGATAAACTTTAACGTCCAACCTTATTTTCTTTCAGCAAAGCGCTCCGGTGAACAACGGCATGGCCTTAACACCCACGAGTCTTCAAATACGGCAGGTGGAAAGACTGCCACGTGACTTCTGCCCTGCCTTCCTGCTCCAGGCAGGTGGATGGCTCAGGATGGAGGTTGGGCCCCAGGGCTAAGGACAGGAGTGCGAGAAGGGGTCACTTGCCCGGGCTCCAGATACTCAGTGGTGAACACGAATACAATTTTAACGCGATTATTTTAAAAATCTAAATGCAAAAAAATTCTTGATGAACAAAATATCAACATTTATTTATTTTTTAATGTTTAGTTTTGAGAGAGAGAGAGAGAGAGAGAGAGAGAGAGAGAGAGAGAAAGAAAGCAGGGGAGGGGCAGACAGAGAGGAAGACACAGAAGCCGAAACAGGCTCCAGGCTCTGAGCTGTCAGCACAGAGCTGGACGCGGGGCTTGAACTCACGGACCGCGAGATCATGACCTGAGCCGAAGCCGGATGCTCAACCGACTGAGCCACCCAGGAGCCCCTATAACATTATTTTAAATTTAAGTTTTTACTAACACTGTAAACAGACTTTGTTGTAATCATCATTAGTACGTTCAAGATCTACCGCTTTGCTTATCTTATTTTCAATTCAGATAACTGCTGTGTCTAGCAATTTCTTTTGACCAAGTGGTGATCCCAAATGATTTAATAAATTAGTATAAAATAAATTATGAGATTAATATTAAATATTATTTCAGTATTAAATAACATTGAACGTCAAATATTTTAACAACATTGAAATTACCTAAATTGTCACTGGATCAAGGGAAAGCACGACACGTGGCAATTCTCTCATTAACATGAAATATCATTGTTATCAGGGGTGCCCGGGTGGCTCAGTTGGTTAAGTGTCAACTGACTCTCCATCTCGAGGTTGTGAGTTCAAGCCCCGCGTTGGGCTCTGCCGTAGGCGTGAAGCCTACTTAAAAGAAAATATTGTTATCAAATATTAAAAGTAAACAGTATGAAACATTTAGTGCTTTCATAACATTAAGTTCTTTGAGAATTGTCACTTCGCTGCCTGGGGTCTGGCGTCTTGAGGACTGTGGGCTCATATATTTTGTCTGGTGTCTTAGGTGGGAAGGCAAACCGGGTCCCTCGTCGGCAGAAGTAGCATCTGGTGGGATCCGCTTCCCGGTTCACAGACCTCACGTGGCGGGAACGCTCTCTGGGGTCTCTTGCTCGAGGTCCCTGATCCCCTTCACGAGGGCTCTGCCCTCGCGACCTACTACTCACCTTCCACAGTCTCCACCTCCAAACACATCACATTAGGGATTAGATCTCGACATAAGAATTGGGGGAGGACACAACACTCAGTCCGTTCATTGGGTTGTTTTATTTCAAATCATTTCTGTTTCTCTTCTAGAAGTTTCCAGTTGTTTCTTTTCTCAAGTCTGCCTGTTCACTGCTGATAACATTGAGTTATTTCTCATCGTACCCTTTCACTTTTTTTCTTTCCATGTTTCATAAATACGCGCCGTGTGCCTGGCAGCTGTTAACGCCTGCTGCTCTCGGTGCTCTGACTCTGGTTGTTTCTGCCACCCTCGCGCATCGGCTCTGTGTCCTTACGTGTCCACTGTGACCTCGGGGCTGGAGCTGTTAGACTCATGCATGCCTCCACTTGGGGTGATTTCATACAGAGAGGACTGTTGTCTGACTCAGGTGTGCTTTTTAAATTTATTCAGTATTTATTTATTTATTTTATTTTTTAAACATTTTCATTTATTTTTGAGAGACACAGAGAGAGACAGAGCACGAGCGGGGGAGGGGCAGAGAGAGAGGGAGACACAGAATCGGACGCAGGCTCCAGGCTCTGAGCCATCAGCCCAGAGCCTGACGCGGGGCTCGAACTCACAAACTGCGAGTTCATGACCTGAGCCGAAACCAAGAGTCAGACGCTTGACCGTCTGAGCCTGATTCAGTTGTGAGCCAGAGGTGGCAGGGACTTGAAATCATGTGTTGGGGTCCCCCAGGCCACACCTCAGGCTTGGTGATTTGCTGGGACTCACAGGACTTGGGACACAGTCATCCTCATGGGTATGATTCATTGCAGTGTAAGGACACAAAGCAAAATCGGTCCGGAGAAAAGGTGCATGAACTGAAACCTGGAGGAAGCCAGGATCAGGCTTCCAGGAGCCCGCCCAGCGGAGTCGCGCCGGGGTGTGCTAAGTTCCTTCGGCAACAATTGGTGACAACACACGTGAGTTACTGTTTGCCAGGGCAGCTCACTGGAGACTTGTTGCCCGTGTTTCTATTGGGGGCTGGTCACGTAAGCACCTGCTGCCTAGCAGGCAGCGAAATTCCAGACTCCCAGAGACCAGGTGTTCAGCACAAACCCCATCAGCTGTACAAACAGTTTAGGCGCAGGGAGCCACATTAGGGAAGAGTGAGAACTCGCCCCAAATCCACGTACCCAGACACCGGCCAAGGGCCAACCTTGCAAACCTTGTTGATTTTTTTTTTTTTTGAGTCTTTTAAACTTAA